GAAGAAACCATTTTGCCACGAAGTTCGATGCCCTCTTCTGCCGCCTGGGCTTCGCCGCCCAGCAGCTAAAGGTCGGGCCTGAGCTTGGGGGTTCAAGCTGGTGGCACATTGCATGGACAGTGAAATGCTGTACGGAATTGACGGTGCGAAGGTGATAGGGTACTGTTGAAAGCCCTCGTTCAAAAGAAGAGCGTCAACAGCTCGGGAAATCTTCACACACCATAAACCTCCGAAGATCTCACCGAAAGTCTGACCCAATCCATTCAAAGGTCAGAGAGGCCTCTTGCCTCATCGAGATTCCCGCTCGTTAAGAGACACCATTTGTCTCATCACTGTCTCTGTCTGTTTGTCTCTTCTCCGTTGCACCGTACTAGGTTACTACATCAGTGCCCCAACTTCATCCGGCATCCCAGCAATCGATGAGAAGCAAGCGCCGTAAATCCCACCTCCACTGCCACGTTAGGGACTCTCCTTTCAAGTTTGCCTTCCCACGCACAACTGAATTCTGTCTGATGCTTTGGCTGCTTCACGAATCCTTGCTACAAAAGTTCCTCCTTCTGCCCTTGGATACAACTTGCATCCGCAAGTGAAATCGCAAAGGGAGCACCGGTGTAATCAGGAGTCCAGGCGCGGAGACACACATCTTGTTATGTGAGGCCCGGAATCCGACTTGTGCTGCCAGGAGGCAGCTGCTCGAAACGCGCCAACCAACCCGAAACTCAAGGATTTGCGATGACCGGCATCCATCCCCTGCAGGGGCAAGACCAGCAAGTCTCGCACGTTTTGGCAGAGCTTCCCCGTTGCCTTCTAAGCCTTGATGCGCAACCAGCAAGAAGTACTGCTTCACTGAAGCTTCGTGCACCATGTACTGCCTGAAGCCTTGTCTATCATCGCTACTGGAGCCCACCGTCACGGCTTGCCTCTGCGGACTTCCAGCGCATTTCGCTGCGCTTTTGAAAGCTGAAGATATGGCCGCAGACGCATCAGCAAGGCAATACGAGTCCTACGCGGGTTGCCTGTATCTTAGGTAAGGAATGGTTAGCTAAGAGGCTCAAGAGGGGGCCGAGATGGTGGGTCTGACTGGACCATCCCTTCTCAAGACACGAGAGTGAGGTTGCACCAGCTACATTGTGACGGCAACCCAGGCGAAGTCCAACGGCAGCGAAGCTACCAAGCAAAGGCCACATAGAAGCTTCCGAACAAAACCTCGGCCAAAACGAGTCGAGTTGCGAAGCGAGGCGACTCTGAACCGCTTTCCGCATTTTCGAGAGGCTTAGCTTCTGGCCAGCACTGGGAAATGAGCGAGCAACAAAGGAGGCCGGGCGACCCTGAGTCACAAGGTAGCATGACCTCTGTCACAAAGGCCCTGTCCACTAAAGCACGATTCTGGCCAAGTTACCAGGCTTCGACTGCTGCTGACAACACCATGCCGTTGTGGAGCAACTGCGAATGCGGGCATGGTGCAAGCAAACCGTGAGGGTCAAGCAAAGGAGACTGAGTCGGTAGCATGGGGGCATAAGCCCTACCTAAGCCCAAGCACGACCTCTCCGCCTGTGTTAAGGACATGAAGGCGACACTCATGATCAGTGTCTCAAACTCCTCCTCCTGCCCTTCCTACAAGCACTTATGCGATCTCTACAACCACTCCCACTACCACCAGGACGACGACGAGTGCTTCTACTACTGCTCCTACCACCGCTGCTGCCACAGCGAATACGACGACCATGACGACCACAACTGTGCTCTGCACATGCCTGTGGCTTCAAGCGAAGAATCCGGCGAAGTTTGTCTCCGTCCCCTGCCAGAACACCAGTGCGAGCTGCGGCTGACGCCACTTGTGACACGATTGACACGTCTTCTTGCTGCCAACTTGCGCATTTTCTTTATTCCAGGTATCAGCACAAAGGTGACCACTATGTTCCTTGCGCGTATGCAAATAGCAGTCGAAAGCTTTGATACTTGAGGATGGTTTAGCCAATCTCTGCCGAAAGTCACGAAGAACGCCAAAGGGAACAGCAGCTCCCAAGTGATCTGCGTTGCCTTCAACGAAAGCTCACGTGATGTTGCACAAGGTCTGGGGCTGGGATTTCAACACGGTGATGTTTTAGACTGACAACTCGCGTTCAATTCCTTTCCGAGTCCCGAGCGGTGCACAAGAGTGCCGATGGGCTCCTTCAGCGCATGCAGAGATTCTCAAGCGGCATCTTGTGTGGTCACGTCTCAACCCAACGACCTTGACCAGCCCTGCAAAGCGGCAAACACGAAGAAGGCGCCACTCACCTTCAAAGGTCACTCAGTCTATGAGCCTCGTCTTTATCCCGCCTTCTGAGGACGTCATTGCTCTAAGGGCAGCCAACGAGATACATGCCAAGCTAGGCATGCCAAAAGGACACCAAGCCTAAGCACTATGAAAGGTGAACCAGTAGGTGCAGCAACGCTGATGGTCGCCCTTCCTGAATGTGCCAAGCGGCAGTGTTGCTCCAAATCGTGAAAGTGCTCCAGCGCCTGGTTTTGTTCTCAAACATCTTTACTCGAGCAAGCCGTGCGACGCCCGTCTCGGTCCATGAGCCTCTCACTTTAGAAGGCACTACATGTCTCGACCATCCTTGCCGAATTGTGTCAGCTGGGTTCGGCACTGCAGATGCAAGAAGGACCGATGCACTGGGGCAATCTCAGGTCGTCCAGGGACGTGGTAGCGAACCACCAGAGGATTCTTGTCCAAATAATGCCACGTGAGGAGGCTCACTTGCCTTGGCTTGCTCAACACTTCATCTTCTCAATTTCATGAAAAGATCGGTCTCTGACGAACTAGCTTTTGAGCCTGAAAGCTGCCTCATACTGCCACCATGCGGCCCGACCGCAAGGATGCTGTTGTAGCACAATACCAGAGGATCTGACCTCCGCTGGGTGCATCTACTCATGCGCCGTGGGGCTTCATGAGAAGTGAGACGTTAACCTGCTTGTGCGATGCTGATGATGATGATGGTGATGATGATGATCAGGGGCATGCGAAACATGGCAGCAAACTGAGAGGTCAACATCATCGAGTAGCAGCCGTAGCTGTCCCACTCAGATGATAGCCTAGCTGTGCATGGCAAACGCTGTGAATCTCATATGATAGCTTTACCGTGTGAGTACGCAGAAAGTGCCAGCTGTTGAAGCTCGGATGCCACCAAAGTGATGCCACAGCCATCCCAGCAGTTATGATCAAGCTCGCGCCGAGATTGATCATCTGAGAATTCGCAAGGATAGCTGCAGCGCCCAAAGTGTGCTACACAACGGAACCATTGATTCGCCATGCCCTTTGTGTGCACGAGCACTGTCAGCAGCACCGGCCGACATTATCTTCAAAACTTCTCCAAGCTGCGTCGCGACGCTGCAGTTCAGGACCAGAGTAGTGTGCCATGCTTGGCTTCAGGCTTTGTGCAGCCGCAAAGCACAGCTGCGGGTGGCTTTTGACACAATTAGTCCATTCATGTCCATGCCACTGGAAGAAGATGCACCTCTATCGCAGGCCTGCTTCTACTTGTTCATGATGCAAGCGTGTCGTACAAGCTCTGCCTCCAACATGGCGGTATGTGGTATTACATATTTCCCACCTTTGTTGCCTTCCTGAATCTTTTCCATTCTGGCTGCATCATGTGCGTCATGTGAGGAGATGGCCTTGGTCTGTTCGTGGAAATTCCTTAGAGCCGAAACGTCGGTCTTTCAAACCCAGAGCCTCGCTTTGGCTTCACATCTCGTGGCCGCTTTCGAGCAAAGTGTCTTCGACGTAGTTTTCTCGTACGTACTTCCGGGACGCCCGGGCACTAAGCATCTGCCTCCCACAACCCTCAGCAGCTGATAATTACCCTTTTCTATACGGGAATCCAATCGGCCGACTGCAAGAGTTCTTCATGCCTCGCGATGTGCAGTTCCGGGCAATGCAGGGCTGCATGCTCTCGCCCACCAAAACACGCTTGGAATATGCGTCTGCTTGGCGCACCGAAGGCCGACAGGAGAATCGGGAAGGGGAAGCCAGCCTGGACAAAGCTCCAAAGCCTCTACGCTGCGAGCCCGAACAGTCCGATTTCCAAAGTAGCGACGCCCAGGAAGTCTTGATTCGTTGAGCTTTGGGTTTTGGCTAGGTTTCTTGCTAGGTTTCGTATGGCAGCTATTGACCCTGCAGGTTTGCTACGTTCAGTTTCCTTGAACATACGTTCTGCTTTGACATCTGGATGTCGAGACACGCTTCTGCTTCCTATACGGAGCAGAAATTGTGTTCGGATTTTCTTATTTTATGGTTCAAGGTCAAGGAGGTTAGAGACGGGCTGCGTCATCTTTGAAGGACAAACGAGGAGATCCAAATCATCTGGGAGATGCTAGTGTTTGATACCGTAGACTTGGGCACTGTCAGGGCGCCATGCTGTGACTCTGGCCAACGTACTGCAGGCAGCACTACTTTGGAACGTCCCATGAACGGCCGGTATATTCTTATTTCGCAACACATCGACGAACGCGATCATTTACAACTGGCCTCCACCGCTAATTGCAATTGCAGATTCTCCCTCGGAGCACTGAGTGGCTACAAAACGTAAACCGAGACCATCCAGTGCAGCTCCCACTCCAACTCTTACTGAAACAGCCTCATGTGGCTGTTCATCAGTGTGCTCCTGTCATGGCGGATGAGTACATACCGCTTAGCATGACAACATGACATGCTGGTATGCTTACAAAGTACCATGCTGCAAAACAATTCTCAGAACGACAAAGCGACATACGTAGTAGTTTCCTAGGTCATAGTACCATGTTCATGTCCGGGTTTTCCTAGCACTGCCCGGCCTCTGTGATCAGCCTCTGGTTCGCCAGAATGACCTGAGTGTCGTGTACCGCAAGTAGGCTTATCTAGCCATCTTAGGATGACACATCCTGCGTTCATCTTATAATTAGTCATAATTAGTATATCTGCTGCTCGTAGTAGCATGCCACGAGCAGCCGATTGCGCCCACGCTCTCGGAAGACTATTTGCGAGGGGCCGAAAAGTCCTTACTGCGTGCCCTTCTTGGCAAATTGTGGCTGGCAGAGTGGAGTCTTTGCAGCGAGAGCACCCAGGAAGAAGACAGCATGTAGACCTGGGTGAGCAGAGCCCCCAAATTCTCAATAAGAAATCACCCCTGCGGCATAAGTCCTGCTCGAATGTGGCGGGGCAAATGAAAACCAGTGACTCGCTTAGCACATGCTTGAGAAGGCCTGTTAGCTGTTGGCCTTCCTTGTCCGCGACTACCTAGCATGTGCTATCATGCGCTGCACTTCCGTTAAAATTTCAACCGTTACTGTAAACATGTTCAGAGGCAGCCCGCTCGATCGGACTTTGCTCAACACCGCTCAACTCGGCTCATGACACAGGCTGCTACTTCTTGGTCCCGACAAGTGACGAGGCATGACAACGGTATCGCCAAAGCAGTCGCGGCTCCGGAGATCGACGCCTTGCCGATTTTCATATCCCTGCTTGGTGGGAGCAACGATGTGTGCAGGTGAAGGCTCATCGACAGGTCTTGCAGCCAGAGTGCAGTCCGCAACATGGACATCAGCATCTTTCTGGCGGCTTTGCGCTCAGCAGCATTCCATGGAGATTGCCATTGGGAGGACATTCACCCGACAAAGCCCGAGAAGCAACATGCCCTTATGAATTCAAGCTTTGGAACAGGAACCCGAAAAGACGACCGAAGCACTATGGTTTTGACTTAGCTGGCTGTCGTAACAGCTCTGTGTGCTCTCTTGCATTCTCTTATGCTTCATTCACTATACACGCTCTTCCATCCTTGCCAGTAGCAGGACTGACAATTCAGCACGGAGATCCAAAGGCAGCAGGAAGCGTGCGAATCACAGCCTAATCAGCTCCAGTGGCAGTGGAAGAGCTCTCGGCTTCCGAACGAAAGAAGGTACCGGTAGTAGCTGAACAGCAAAGGACATCTCGCAGCCCACCGGCCCACAAGCACGAGCCGGCCGACATCACGGCCGATTGTAGCAACAAGTGCCTGCAGGCTGCATGTGTGCACCTGCTAACAGCTCGGTTACTCCAAAGCTCTAGACTGTGGAGGGTGCCTGCGTTCTGCAGTGTCTAGCTGCTGTTTTGGCTGTTGGGTCTCAATGCTTGATCGGCATGAGAACCGGCTCATGCTAGTGTTGAAGTGGTTTCGCATGGGCTCACAAAGCAGCAGCGGAGGATGGCACCCGAGACACGGTACATTCTCGCGCGCGAATTCCACACTCTCGAGCACATGTGAGAAGCCAAGACAAGCCAAGAGACTACCATCAGAGTTCTCCAGCACCTGCACCACCTCCACCTTCACGCAGCAAGTTTATTACAGCAGAATTCCGCTTCTGCTTCTCCGGCCTCGGCCCAGCTTCGGCGCAGGTGTTTGAAAGCTAAATGGCATCCGGAAAAGACATGCAGCTCAAGGGTTACGAGAGCTGTGAAAGCTTCTGCAGACTCCAGCTCGGACATGGCTTTTCTTGCGGGCGCGCACGGCGTGGTCGGGGAGCGTGGGCTCGTACTTTGGACCTACTAAAGAATGTCTTTCGTCTACCTTCTCAGGGCAAGGCAGAGCTACGTGGCCGGTCAGTTTCAGATGTCACTGAAATCATCTGCCTTGGCGTGGCATCATGCCAACCAGCAGCAAGCAATTCGACATTCCGATGCCAGCCAAGCCACATTGGGAGGTGGTGTCATCACCGCCAAAGTTGGTATTCCCTGCACTGTACTTGATGACTCTTTTGATCTCTGACACAGCTGCAGGAAGCCCCATCACGGTCACCGTCGCCATCACCAAAAGCAGCGGCAGCAGCAGCAGCAGCGCCAGCACCAGCACCAGCACCATCATAATCACCATTACCCTGCCTGCACAGGCTACTATCACTTGATATCGCAAGAAAGTCGTGTATACGAATACGCCCCACCTTTGTAGCGCACCTACATCATCAACCTGGTTTCAACGAGTGAGGCCGCTTCCTTCGCGAGCTTGCGCGGAGGTTGTGGAACAGGTCCGGCCTCAGAGGGAGGTTCTGAACACATGCCCCGTCCGAAGCCACGTCCCCTCTCACGTCAACCGAGAATGTAAAGCAACCGAACGCTACAGCCTCAAAAGCTTCAAGGAGCTGAAGCGACCTGCAATTTTGGCGATAACCCTGCTGAAGTGGGCCAGCGACAGGCTTCCGCCTCAGATAACCTGAAGCCTGCCGGGCACTCGGCACAACAAGGCTTTGAAGGGAAAAACAATCACGGGACAGTTCGTCCTTGCTTGTATCCGAGAGCTTTTTATGTGCACCCACTGTAGCATTGCCTCCGCAACTGATGAAACCACGACTGCCCCTTCCTGGGGCTTCAATCACCGATGACTGGCCTCGGTGGTTTCCACCTTCGGTCCTTGGGTGCAGGCGCAGTGCGTGGTGCTTTGCAGTGAAACTGTCTAGAACTTGGGCCCGTGCGAAGTAATCCTGGCCTTGCGCGAAGGGGCAAGCATACTACGTTACACTCTGCTCGGAACAGCAACGGCAGTAACACCGACAACACGTCTCGCTCGTCAGGTCTGAGGCTAAAGAACTCACCCATCTACCCCCACACCTGGATCCTGCCCTGTATGGCAACCCCTGCATCTCCCAATGTCGGTACTGTGCAGTGGCCTTCTGTCCGAGGTATCTGCAAAGCGCTTCAGCTGTCCAGACTCGAAGTCCTGTCTGCGCATGTCTGCAGGAGGGCATGGCAGGAGCATTTGTGGCTGTCCCGAACCAGGCTTCTAGACATGTAGTGCAAACAAATCAGGACAAGATGTGTGTGGAAAGCAACGCTCGGCCTTTGGAGGGATGTCGAAGTGTGTAGCAAAAGATTTCGCTGTCGTGAGTTACAGGGGTCATTTCAAGTCAATACGGGCAGATCTGGGTGCGCTTCGCGGATGTTGCGATGGGAGTAACAGAAGGCAGCCGGACTCCGGCTGTGGATGATGACTTGACGACTTCTTTCTCTCCAGTCTGCGCACTTGCTTCTGGCACAGATCTAAGCCGCGAGCTCTCTCAGAGAGCTCGAGGCCGTGTAATTCGCAACATATAGGGTTAGCAGCAGCTGATTTTGAAAAGACTGCTTTCTCTAAGAAAGCAGATTCGCAAACGACCCTGCCGCAACAACCATGTACTGAGGAATGTCTCTGGCGCAAACTCGTGCTGCCCGCGCCGAACAACCAGCCACAAACACACAAACAGCACTTCTTGCTAGCCGATGCTGCTGTGCTTTGAACTCTCGACCTTGCAGGATCTCGAAGCTCACCGCTACCACCCGCAATCGGTCAATCTATCGACGAAACCTACGCAACTGAAACTGTCAACTTCTCACACATGCCGAGGCCTGACGACAATCACAGTTCCGACCCAGCCGACCATCGAAAGCAACAAACGTCATATCGTCAGGCAGTTGGCAAATCATGGAAGCCAAACGGTGGTGAAACGCGGAAAATATCCGATTCTAAGCGCCTGCAGAAACTCCTGGCCTGCACAACCATCTGCATATGCCGAACTGTCTTTTGCTGCTGCGTGGGATTTCAAGGTAGTGCTACAGCGCGGCCGTCAAGTACAATGATACAACAAACTAGTGACGGAGATGAGTGTGCTGCCGACATCCCTCCGCTCAAGGCAACCCAACTCAGTGAAAGAATCATTGTGGTTTTCTCAATGGAGCTCAGCCATCGAACTCGGAGACGACCGTGGGCGTGGCCTGGAAGAAGGACTGGTGGGCGGATCAAGTAAAACCAAGATTCGACAGACAAGTTGTCCAAAGGGCCGCCCACATGCGCAGTGTGCGTTCACGAAGCTCGTAACTGTGTTGAGCTTGCGGCGAAGGATCTTGGCTCTTGACCCATTAAGGTCGACTTAAACTTAACATGCATGCCAAAGACATCGCCTCGCTGGGGCACTGCTCATGGCGACAAGCACCTGAGCAGTAGGACCAACTGGGTAAGTGCCCCAGGGGGGTAGCTGCTGTGGCAAAGCGGGGATCGGCGAAAAGGCGGTATGTGTGCAAGATTCGGAAGTGTGGGAGCACATGCGTTTGTTAGATCTCTTGTCATTAGTACCTGAAGTGTCAATTTTTGGACATGTGCGTCAGCTCCACGTGCAAGGGTCGGAGCTTCACCAAACCTGCAGATGAGAGTAAATGTTCGTGGTCATGTCCACTGAGTCATCTAATGAGTCACCTGTGAGAAGAGCATCTTCCGCTTTCCGACAGTCTGAGGCGGTTTCCGTCAGGATCCAAGCTGAAATGCCGAACCACGCTTGCTGCAGCTATGCCGATTCCACCAATGCCACAGACCTGGGCCGGAATGTCGCGCCATGGAACGACGGGAACATCGCCATGCAAAGCACGGCAGCTATATCAACCTGCTGGCATCACACGGCTCGCATGGTATGCTTTCTCTGCACTGGCGTTGTCCTCTGCGAAGTCTCTCGGGCTCTTTGCAAGGGGTCTGGCGATAGTGGCCCAACACATCTCCGATGCTCAGAAGCTTCCGAGTCTTCCGAGCTCAAAAACTGCGAGTTCCCGAAAATTCTCTAAGGCCTGGGCTTGGGTCTTTTGGGTCTCCGAGTTGGAAGGCGATGGGATCGAGCCCGGCGCCACCACTTCCTTCGGAGCGTGAAGTCTGCTAACTTTCACTTATGCTTCCGTTTTTCATAAGAGAAGATCGCTCTTGCTTCATGTTGTCTTGCTCGCCATACAACGTCCATGCTGCTGCAGCTCAGGGGCCGTGGCAGGGACTGCTAGGCATATGGCGGGCTCCCGCCGTCGGCCCTCGTCTAAACTGATGGGCGTGACGCCTTGGATGTGTACGGGCAAACAGGCTTCTCCCTCTCTCTCTGGGTTGCAGGGCCCAGCCACGGTCATCACCCATAACTTGACAACCCAAGTGTGAACAACAGGGCTGTCGAAAAATTCTTCCACGTCTCTGCCATGCTGCATTCAGCGACCAGGTCGTCCTCAGCACAGGTTTTGTGACTGCTCCATCCCTTTGAGGTTCATGTCGAACAGCAATACATGACATTTTGTTGCTGCTTCTTGTAGCACCAATCGTGGCCACAAGCAGCAAGCGTCTCAAGGGTTGCTCTACGACGAGGACACAAAAAACACAGCCGCCATCATATGCGAGAACATGCTGGCACTTGCACCCTACTCCAGTCATAGCTGTTCACACTGGTCAAATCGGGAATTTGAGCCTGCAGGTAATCTCTGAGCAGTCACAGGTGCCAAGCCGCCTGTGTTGCCACAGAAGCTATCGTAGGCTCGGGGACCGGAAGTTCGATGACCTGGGACACCTGATAACGAACTTGGTGTTCATAAGTTAACACCCTGTGAAACTCGTTTGGGCCGTTTGGGACCCGATCAGGTCGTCCCACATTCGCTGATGGTCGCTGCCAGTTAGTTCAAGACCAAAGGCCAAACATCACTCTGCAATCAGTCGCAGTGTCCAAGAAGCACTGGTCTCTCTGAAGCCGGTGGCATCAGTCTATTCCAACCCTTTGTTCTTCCATCTTCCCACCGGTGCCTGCGACACCTCTGACAACCTGAGCAGGGGTCCAAGGAAAGGCTCGGACACGTCTCTTGTGGCAATTGTCATACGCCAAATTCAGTCCCGAAGCTTGTCCTCTTTTCTCCAGGGTCGCCACCAGGAGGATTTGGCTTTCCTGGCTCGGAGTCAAGTTGAAGCTCGGCGACGATATTAGCCACAGTATCCTGAACGATGCTGAAGCGTTCAAAGGTCGAGTCTGGCCCTTTGTGTTTCCAGGATCTTCTTTTGAACACCCTCAGCCTGCCTTGCTTCGGGCTCCTCTTTCCCATCCCAGGCGCGGTCTCCGCGGCCTCTGGCACCGAAGGCAATTCCGGACCAAACTCTGCACAAGGGAATCCCCATAACCAGGGCGAGTTGTCTGTGAAATCCGTCGTCGATCGTCGTCGTGCTTAGCACGCTCTGCTTTACCATGGTGTCGCTACTTGCAGCTGAAGTGCTCGGCATTTTGTCGCCACCGGGCCCTTCAGGGAAAAGGCTGCTGGCCGCTACATGACAAGTAAACGCGAAACTCCCTCGCCCGAAGGAGCGTTGGTACGACACTAGGGCAGTGATCTTCCAAGACACATGGTTGACTTCTCAGTCAAACGAGAAGAAGTGTGGAATATGGGACGCTGTCACTCCGCAAACAGGCCGGAGCTTCCAGTGGAAATGCACACGTCCTCGTTCCCCAAGTCTAGTGTCAGGAGGCTGCATTCCAGGGGGTCTTCCGCCATACCTTCCAAGGGCCAAACAGCTGAAACGAGCAAACAGAGCCGAAGAAGCCCGTTCTGGTGGCTTGCAGCAAGGGCTAACGTGGCCAAAGCACGTGGCGACCTGCGCTCTCAACTTTCGTGTGGGTGGTGTTCTTTAGGTGTCTTACTACATGCGCCAAATGGGAAACGGCCTGCGGGACAGTCGTAGCCACAGGTGGGCAATAAACGATGCCCGAAGGCGCTCCTATCTTTGAGGATGATTCATGCCTGCGGGAATGATCTGTCTTGCCACCTTCCCTGCGAAGGGGAATGCGCAAAATGTGCAAATGGCTCGCTCGAAAGGCAGGGGGTGTCTTGAGTCCTGCAGTCCAGTGGTGCCGTGCAGACTGGCAGCCCTCAGGATTGTCAAGCTGCTTTCCGTAGCACATCGATCTTGAAGCACCAGCAAAGGTTCTGCAGCGGGAGGTCCATGTACAAGCTAGTTTCTGATCACGCGGCCCAATGTATGGCATGCGGACTCTGAGTGCACGCATGCAGCTGACACTCTGCTGCGAGCATCTGGCTCATCCAGGGATAGGATGCCGCCGATAGAACGCCTGCAGTTCACGGGCCGGTAGAAAATAACCCTGTGTTGCCGGATCAGTGCTGCCAGCACTGTGCACATGACTCAGTTAGGCCTGCAAAGCTAATCTCGCAGGACTACTCTCGAGCGATCATCTCAACGAGGGCCTGTTCCTGCAAAGCTCGCAGCAAACGGGCTGCCTGCCCCAGCCTTTTCCCTTCTTCCCCTTGCCATTCTTGCCCTTGCCGTTCTTGCCTTTCCCACCCTGGCCGAGCAAGCTAACATCAGAACAAGCAAACGCGGTCCTGTGGTGCATGTCCATGAATCTTGTGCCCATCGACCAATGACTCGTTTACATGCATGAGCCCACAATCAAGATGCAGCACAACAAAGATTAGCAATCTCTGTAAATGTCGTCTCCGGGAGACTCTGAATACTAGCCCTTTGAATGACCTGTGCGTGCGTGCCTTTTTGTGCTTGTGAACGCGCGAACCCCAACCTGTTGCATGCATGTGTGTATGTGCTCGCTCACGCTCATCTTCAACTCATTGCTTGTTTCTGGGTGTTCGTACCTACATTGATATGTAAGCAAGATCCCCTTGTATGTGTGTACTTCTGCATGCATGTGTTTACGTCTGCACCTTATGCTTACACACACACCATGCCAACAATCAGCAATGAAACCAGGACGACCACGACGATAACGACAAGGAGACCACCAAGAGGCCAGCCACAAAAGCTACCAACACGCCAGGAGACCAGCAGGCGGCCACCAAGAGACCACAAGAGCACTATCCAGGGAACCACCAGCAGATCATCAGAAGACTACCCACGACGAGCACTGCGACCAGGGAGACAACGACCAGAAGACCGCTCAAATAAAAGCTGTCTAGAGTGGTCGCAGAATTATTCTCCGACTGGGCAGGGGGTGGGGGTCGAATGTGGTATGCATTGGCATGAGCTGGACAGATCAATTATGACACCAATGCAGTGCGGTGCCGTGCCGTACCATGACACTACGATTTGTGCACACTGGTTTGCTCTTTCTTTCTCCCTCTCTCCCTCTCCCTCCCTCCCTCCCTCCCTGCTTCTCCCTCTCTTGCTTGCTTGCTTGGGGTTTGGGGCTAGCAGCCCCCCGGCCCGTAGGCCAACCCCTTACGGCTCGCGTCTGTACGTCTTCGTGCCCCCCTATTCGGGGGCGGGCAGATGTGTTCCTCCGAATGGACATATAGCTTATCCCCCCGAAAACAACCCTTCTAAGACCCTGACCGGTGAAAGTCCCCCAGTATGTCAAAGTCGGGTCATCCACTCTGCCAACTAGGTGGTTGTTGTCCGGTCGAGCTCCACTCTTCCGGACTGGTCCGTTCCGTTGGCTGCCTGTTGGCCTATGAATCTTTTTCTTTCGCCAGGATTGCTCCCCTTGCCCGCGCGCTTGTCAGCGCCCCCGACTGTTGCGGAGGGGAAACTTGCAAAAATCTCTCTCTCTCTCTCTTTTGCTTGCTTGCTTGCCTGCTTGCTTGCTTGCTTGCTTGCTTGCTTGCTTGCTGACGGCTACAGGAGAACGCGCCCGTAAGCACGCTCCCCCAAGGCGAACACGTGCAGCCGGTCTCTTTGTCTTCCAAGGTTCGCAGGTCCTTGCTTGCTTGCTTGGGGTATGAGACGGTATGAGGGTGTGACCCTTCTGGCCCGTAGCCCTACCCGTCAAAGGCGCGCGTCTGTGCCTCGGATTGACCCCTTCCGGGGGTGGAGCCTTCCAGTTCCTCTGTTTGTGCTTGGTCAACCCATCCCCCGAACCAACACCCCTCCTAAACCCTGACCATGGAAACCTTTCAAGGCACGAACAAGTCTTCCTGGTGCTCCGGGAATGCAACTACTGGCAGATGTCTTGACAACTAGCAGCTAGATGTCCATGACAAGGCCACAACAAAAAGGGGGCCATGCAAGCAACTTCCGGATGATCCTATGCTCCATGCCATTCCTATTGCTATCGGCCCTCACTGCAGGTGAGCTCCACTCCCCCGCATATCGAAAGTTCTTACTCACACCGGCCTGACCTGCCTCCCCACCTGATCCCGAACAGAACCTCGCGCGACACTGCCTGACCTGCCCACCCCCGCCCTGAAGCCTGACTGCACACTGTCCCTACTGGCTGCCGAGCTTCAACCAATTTGCACGACAGCGAGGCGCAAGTCAACTAAGCCAAGTCTACAATAGCAGTTCGGGCGATGTCGCTAGGGAAGCACGTTGCAGCCAAGTCGCATTTCTGCGGACTCCGAAATTGGCTTCAGGCCCCCAGTTCCCCGGTTCCACCCCAGCAGCACAACGAACGCACTAAGCCCCTCGGCCTGAACTACCGACGCCACTAAGCAAAGGACAAAAGACAACCGGGCTGCAGACTGGTCATCATGGTCCAGGGAGCTGGGACTCGTGAAACCCCTCCGTCTGTCCCCGGGCAGGTAAGGGGCTCCCTCACTGCTGTTCTCATGTGTTCTTGCGCGGGGTCGGGAAAAAGGGGATGAAGAACTGGTCGCCGCACTCTCCGCGTCTGGTTGTGTAGGTTGCGGTCCCCTTTGGTCTGCTGCGGGTTTCAGTCTTCCCCCCTCTGTGCTCCCCGTGGGCTTTGTCGGTGTTGTAGCGGTTCTGGTCGTTGGCGAGGTCGCGGTCGCCCCGCACTTGGCAGCTGTGGTGTCTCTGCCCCCACAGCGTCCTCGTCCTCGCTGCTCAGTAGCTGTACATTCTCTCCCCAATGGCTTTGTATCCATGACTTGCCAGTTGTAGCTTCTTCTCGTCCTTGCTCTCTTTCTTTCTTTCTGCAGGGC